TACGTCCTAGAGTCAAACCTACCGTACTTGAAAAGGGATGGGGGGGAACCTCAGGTAGGGGGAGGTCATTAGCTCCACCCACACACACACTGGACCCCACACAGGCCTGTGTACAGCCTCTGCCCGCCTCCTTGTCAACGAGCAAACTGAGGCCACTCATCTCACTTCCAGAGCTTCAGTCTCATTTGTAAAATGAGCCCTTGAGGAGGACTCAGGGGAACTAATATGGACTCAGCTCTAAGGAGCACAGGCCAGTGAACTGCTACAACACGCTCACCCTCCCGTCCACCACGAGTGGCAGTATCCAATAGCCCCATCTGACAAATGTGGAAGGCAAAGCCTGGAGAGGTGAAGAGGTGGTCACACGGGTCACAAAGCATCGCTGATTTCACACCTCCAGGCCAGTGGATGGCAGGCGAGGTCGCTCCACCCCTCAACTCTCCTCCTGGGGCCTCCATGTCCAGCAGCACCTGGAGCAGGTGTGGGGGGGGAGCTCCTCCTGTGCCAACTATTACCTTCTTCCCCTCCATGAAGCCTCTGGGGGCCCTGAGGGACTGCCAGTGCCATAGGATACCCCTCAGCAAAGTACAGGGCTGGTGGGTGGCTCGAGTCGGCCCGACTGGTGGCTGAGGACATGGGAACCTGAGAAGCCAGAGGGAAACCCAACAGAATCACATCTCAACCCTCCTGGCTGTTGCCCTCTCCCCAGACAGCTATGTGGCCGCGCTTAATGGGGTTTTCTACTCAAATCTCACCTTATCAGAGGGCCTCCCCGGAACCCTGTACAGAATGGCTGGGGCCGCCTGACCTGCCCGGGACTCCCCAACTCCTCCCTTATTACTCTTTTTTCCCCCCAGGGCACCTCATACCATCTGACATACTATTTATCTTCTTTATTGTCTGCCTCTCTCCTTCAGAAATAAACCCCAAGAACATTTTGTTCACATAATCGCGACTACCTAGAATAGTGTCTGGTGTGCAATGAGGTCTCCATAGACAGATAAAAATTTTATGAGGATATAAAAAAGTGCATGCATCTCAAGTGCACAGCTTAATATATTTTTGTATCTAACCACCACCCAGTTCAAGCTATAGACATTTCCAGATGGCTCCCTCGTGCCCGCCTCCCAGTCAACCCCAATCCCCTGAAGTAACCATTATACTGACTTCCATCACCATCAATTAGTTTCACCTGTCCCTGAACTTCACAGAAATGAATGATGTCATCGTGTGTACTCACTCTTGTGTTTGGCTTCTTTTGCTCAACATGACATCGTCTACAAGATACACCCATGATGTTGTGTGTAACACTGTTTGTTCTTTTTTATTCTGTTCTGTTATACAACACTCTACCATGATTTATTCATGCTCTTGTTGATGGGCATTTGGGTTTCCAGTTGGGGGCCATGAACATTCTTGTACGTGTCTTGTTGTGGACATGTGCCTAGCAGGGGGACAGCTGTGTCACAGGGAAGTGTATGTCAATAGATTCGGGAAACCGCCAAACTGTTTTTCTACTGTGGTTGCACCATCTGACATTTCCACCAGCAGCATAAGTTCTGGAGTCGCCACCTCCTCTCCAGCACTTGGTGATATCAGACTTCTTAGTTTCAGGCTTCTGGTGAGTGATTGTGGCATCTTATTTCCCTGCTGAGTGACGATGTTGGGTGCTCAACAAACGTTTGCTGGATGAATCATTAGGTGGGTTGTAGAGGGAGGCTCTCCACTTGGCAGGGATGGGTGGGCTCATACCCTTCACCTGAAGGTCAAGGTCCCTGACTCCCACACTGGCCTCAGAAGCAGCTTCCCATTTCACATACTGGTCACACTTACACCCCAGAGCGCAGCCGAGGCCGGCTGAGGCATTCAGATAGGACCTGCCGGGCCTGAGGCTCAAGGTGCCCCAATGGACAAGAGAATAAAGAAATTCATCTGGTTCCCAGGCAGAGCTCTGCAGATGGGGTATTCACAAGCCCCAGTCCTCCTGGTGCCCAGTGGTGCCCACAGGGCACGACCATCTTTTCCTACTCCCAGGAGGCATCTAGAGGCCAGGCCCAGCCAGGAGCACTGTCTCCCCAGACCTCTGCCCTCTGACTCGGGAAGCTGTACTCCTAACACATGGCCAAGGCTGAGTCAGGCCCTTCCCAACAGCCTGTGAGGTCCTGCAGCAGAAACTGGCTGGTCAGTAATCCAGGCTGGCTAGGACACCTTGTGACAATTCCAAGGTGACCTTGTGACAATTCCAATGGGAGGTAAACAGAGGTGATGGGGTCACTTCCAGTCCTGGCCCAAAAAAACCTCCGTGGGTTCTGAGCTTTCCCCTTCCCCAGTGACCCTGGAAGTCACGGGGGGGGGGCAGGGAGGATAGTGGGGCCACAAGTTGGAAAGAGCCTGGGCTCTGAAGTCTCTCTTGGAGAAGGATAGCCCACTGATCACAAAAATCCCATAATAAACCTTATGTGAGCATGAAATAAACTTCCATTGCATTCGAGTCTATGTATTTTGAGTTTGTTACATCAGCCCTTGGCCCTAACTGGTAGGTATAACTAGTATGTACAGTATTACATACAACTAACATAGGTAATAACTAGCCCCATTTTACAGATAAGAAAACTGAGACACAGAGAAGCTACTGAACTTGTTTGAGGTTAATAAGCAGAGAAGCCATGCTTTGAATCCGTGGCCTGGCTCCAGAGGTTCCGAACCAACAGGCCAAGAAGCAGAGGTGCAAGCCAGGAGCTCCTGGCCATCTCCCACCCCCACCTACGCCTCCTCGAGTCTTTTGCCTGGAGGGAGGTGGTCCCAGCCTCCTGGCCTCCTTGCCTTTCACAATTGTCACCCAGCCTTGTCATTCTGAACCCCCTCACAGTTCAGAATCTGCTTTTGGACAGGCCCCAGCAACAGGCTCCCAGGGTGCCTTCCTCTCCCACCCCCATTCCTCAAGGCCGCTTGGTGTTCTCAGCTCTGGGGGCCAAGGTGTCCGTCTTCCCTGGGACTGAGGCCGGCGGGAACCAGCTCCCATTCGTGGTCCCAGTCAGCCAGAGCTCTTTCAGTTCCAAGGGACAGAAACCCAGCTGACTTCAAGGGGGAAAAAATGTTTATTGGCTCACGTAACTAAGAAGCCTAAGGTATGAAGGCTTCAGGCAAGCCTGGATCCAGGTGTTCAGATGTCATCAGACATCTGTGACTCTGCGCCAACTGGTTCTACTGTGCTGGCCTCGTTCTCAGTCAGAATTGCCCCTCAGGGTTGGAAGCAGCTTCCAGCAGCACCCAGCCTACATTCCGCCAGCTTTGCTACCCTAGTGTGGCCACCATCACCCTCATCTGGACTCCTCTGAGTGTTCCCTGCTGCTCTCTGAGCCACGGGGAAGCCAGCGATCATGTCAAAACCCATTCCCAATGGTCCCATCTGAAGTCCCAGTGGTCAAGACCGGCCTGTACCACTCTCTGGGGCCAGAGCGTGTGTGATAGGTGCTGTGATTGGCCAGGCTGGTGTGATGTTCCCATCCCTCAACCCCAGGGAGTGGGGTCTGCTGAATACACTGTGGAGTAAAGGTGATTCCCCAAAAGGCAGGGGCACCATAGCCAGAGGGGGAGCACATGAGAGGCGGGCAGGACCCACATGCCCCAGCTCCAGCTGCCCTGGGCCCTTCCACACTTGCCAGCATCCTCCTATTTCACAGAAGTCGAGATACCTCAGATGAAAACTGAATTCTGCAGTCTTCCCACCTAAGCCTCCTCACCGCACTCTCCCTCATCAGGATGGGTTTGCCTTGGGCACCCCTCCACCTCACTCCATTCATTTTCCCCGCTTCTGTCCCACATCCCCTCCCTCACTATAAGCTTGCATATCTGCCATCTTAAAACACAAAAACAAAACTCCCTCCTCCTCACTGAGCCACTGCTCCCTCTCCACTTCATAGCCCTGAGCGGTGTTTCAGCTCGCCTCAAGTTTCTCACCTCCAGCTCTCCCTGCCTCGTCGACAACCAGCAAGCTGCTGAGGCAGCTGTGGTGAAGGCTTCCCTAACGCCTGCAAGGTGTCCTGCCATTCGACAACTGGCCTGTCCCTACTCCCAGCCCCCCCCCCAGGGTGGGCACATCCAGTGGCTCCTGAGGGGCTCTGGGTCTGGCTGCTCTCCACTGTCCTCTGATGGGCTGTCCCTCTCTCCCCGCGGTGAAGTCACCTACTCTCAAAGTTCACACATCTGTCTCTAGGCCCGTGTGTCCAATTGTCCACTCCACACCTCACCTTGGCGTTCTCATAATTCATCACAGCCAAACCTGTCATCTTCAGGCCTAATCCTACTCTACCTCTTGTGTCCCCCAGCTGGAAAAGGCTCCTGCCTGAGTTGCTACAGAAAGAGTCCTTGAGGGTTCCCTCGCTCTCTGCCCCATGTCCAGTCAGCCATCAGCACTCAAGTCGACCCACTGCTCCCACGCCTCCTGCCCAGCCTCACCAAGCCACTGCTCCCTAAAAGCACAGGTCTGCCTCCGTGGACACTGCAGCTCCAGGGTCCACTCAGAAATGGGTGCAGACTGACCAACTGTGTCACTGCCCTGCTCACAAGCCGGTCTTCAAGACTCTTTACAACAATCTCAACTACCTCTGCTCCCGCTGCCCCTTCCCCCACCCTTCATGGCACCAGGAGCAGAGCTCTACAGTTCCTCTTACTCGTCCTGTCTGTCTCTTTGCCACAGCCCAGAGTGAGCAGAAGGGTCTCCAACAGAGGACAAGAGGTTCAGAGAATGGTAGGAACCTGCCCAGGGTCACACAGCACAATGAGATAGGTTGTCCTCCAGCATAACCGGCACCTGCTGGCTCAGGTCCTACACCACTCTGCCCACCTTCCTTCTATCAGCACCGCTGGTCCTGCCCTGGCACATCTGTGGCCTCCAGCCCCTCCCTTCACTCAGCTGCTGCCTGGCCCCAGCTCAGAGTGAGGAAGTCAGGTGAATGGGTGGAAAGGCTGCCACAAAGCCCTAGACAGAGGCTGGGACAGACGCTGATGTTCCCTTTTATTATTTTTTTTTTTAATAAATTTAAGAACAGCTCTACCTTCTCTCCTCCCCCCAGAACAACTAAAACCAACTAAAAGGGGGTGTGGCCTGGGGGGCAGAGGGCGCTAGGAGTCATAATCCTCTTCTTCTTCTGCATCAGGTGCTGAGGGGCCAGGGGGTGCTGGGGGCAGAGGCAGAGTCGAGGTGAAGGGCATGAAAGGTGTTGGGGGGCTGCAGGGCAGAAAGCAGGAGAGGAAAATCAGGTCACTCTCCTGTGACCATTCCTACCCACTGAGCCCCACTCCACCCTTCACACAGGCAGCATGAAGCCCACCACCCTCTAGCAAAGGAGAGCCAAGCCCAAAGAAGGGAAGGGCCTGAACAGGTCTCAAAGCCCCTGCCCAGGCCCCATCCACTGCCCTCCCCAGGTGGGAAAGAGACTTCCTGATTAGCACAGTCTCTTGCCTTTAAGCCCTGCTCAGTTCCTTCCTTCCCATCCCCCAAATCTGCCACAACCAACAGAAGTGACTAGGGAGGCCAGGAGGGACAAGTTAGCCCTGGGGAGTCTTCTGGTCCTCTCATGGAGCCACTGAGCTGCTTACCTCTGAAAGTGGGAAGGGGGATGGCTGGCCTGGGGTGGAGCCTGCGGTGTCTCCTCTTCCCCATCAGTGTCAGTGTCCTCAGACTCATCCTGGGAGCAAGGCAAGGGTCAGAGGTGACAAAAAAGGCATGGGCCCATCACTGAAGAGCCTAGACCTCTGGGAGTGGCAGAGACAGAAGGCTGAGCTCCACAGCCCCAATTTACAAAGAAACCAAGGTACAAGGAAATCACAGGTGAGGATGGGCCCAGGCCTCCAGCCAGCTCGAAGGGGCAAGACAGAGGGCTGGGGGCTTCACTCACCTCCTGCTCTGAGTCTGTTCCTGACAGCTTTTTGTCCTTGCCTTTGTTGCCCATCCCACCATTCTTCCGGCTGCTGCTGCCTGGCTTCCGGCCCCTTTGGGAAGGTATAATCCATCTGCTCAGAGGTCTCCCCGCTCCTTCGCCACTCCCCAGCCACCTCCAACCCCGGTGGCCTAGGCCTTCCACGCTTGGACACTTGGCCCTAACTCCCCACCTGCGGGCGCCCTTGTCCCCGTCCATGTGGTTGTCTTCCCCATCCCCTTGCATGTCAGGCACAGATGCCACCAGGTCCTTTAAGAAGTCAAACTGCTGCTCCAGCTCGATGCACTGCTTCCTGAAAGAGGTGAGGCGGGAATGGCATCTGGCAGGGCCCAGATGTCTGGGTTGTCAGCAAGGGACAGCAAGAAGCTCTGGATGTCAGGAGAATGGAGCCTGGAAAACCTCCACCACCCGACTTCCTCCCTTTGCTGGAACACCCAGACTTTCCTCTCCAAGTTCAAACGCACCAGTCTCTAAGGCCTTGCTGGTCTCCCAGTAGCCTCCCACCTCCCTATCAGGACACAGCCTCTCTTAAGTGTGTGAATGCCTGGAGCAGGGCCCCACTGGGCCCTTCCAGCTCAAGGCCACTCACAGGTGGGATGTGGTCATGGTCTTGGCGTTTCGCGACTGGGTCACCTGGCAGGCCTTCTTCAACAGCGACTCCAGGAAGAGCTCAAGCGCCCGGGCTCAGAGTGGTCAAGAAGAACGCGGGAGTGGGATCCCTGCCCACACAAGGCGACCGCCGGCTGCCTCCCTCCCCCACGTCCCTCAACCCGGCCAGCCCCCGACAGGATACAGATGATGACAGGGACAGCCGCCGCCACCTTCCCAATCTCTTCGTCCGTCTGCATGATCTTCTTGATCCGCGCCTGGGGAGGACGCAGAGAGCTCAGACACATCGCCTCTGTCCCAGAATGGGGTGTAGGGGAGAGCGAGGGGGGTATCCCAGGAGAAAGGGGGCGGGGGTCAACGACGCGGGGAGGGCACGGAAGGGGGCGGGGCGTCCGGGTCCCCGAGCACCGCGATGCTCCCGCCCCCCCAGCCGGGCCTGGGCCCGAGCCTCCCGGGAGCCGGGCCCGCTCCTCCCGGGCCTGGCCACGTGCTCACCGGCGGGAACCGCGCGTTGTATTTCTTTTTCTTGCTCGGCATCTCCGGGACTCTCTCGTCGCGCCGGGCCCAGCGCCGCCGCCTGCAGCCTCCCGGCCCCGGGGCCTGCTCGCCGCCCGCCCGTCGAAGTTCCCCCGGGTCCTGGTGCCGCCCGCTCCGCCCACGCTGCTCCCCCACGGGGTCCTAGCGCCGCCGGTAGGGCCTCCGCTCTCAGCGTCCGAGTGCCCTCCCCTCGGAGCCTTCTGAGCTGCGCGAGTCCGTCCGGGACACAACCGGCACTCCCGCCCGCCCCCAGGCCAGAAGAGCGAACGTTAGACCCGCCCCCCGCAGGC